CCTTTGTGGAGTATTAGGAGGAGAATCCCTAGGGAATAAATGATAGTTAAGTAATAAAGGCAGGGAGCAAAAGAAATATCCTACATCAAGACCAAAAGGACAACTGAAGCATATATTCTGATTACCAAAAAAAAGAGAAAAAGATCCACATATTGAAGCAACTAACCAATCAGCAAAACCTTGTGAAATCCTATCATCAAAAGTGATCAGAAGCAATCCAAGTGGACAAAATGTCAATTGAAGGTGTCTAAAAATAGTTGAAGGCTTTCCATAATGATCAAAATGTTATCCAGAAACTTACAAAATAATGTATCAGAGTTCGTGGTGGTTTGTGGAACAGTGAGGCAGGAGCAGCCTGAAGCCGTGTTGAGAAGTCTCGTGAGGGTGTGAAGTGCTTAGTAAGATAAAGCTGAATTTGTCAGCCATCTATCCTTTGTGTTTTCATGTATAGACTCATTACATTTGTATAGTTTAATTTCGCTTTTTTGGTAGTAATTGATATCCATAAGTAATGATGGACTGGACTCACTGGACTGCTGGATTCCACTGCAGTCCAGTGGAATCCAGTGGACTATGACTGGACTGGGACTGGACTCAGGAAAGTGGCTTGTAGTCCAGTGAGAGTCCAGTGGACTGGACTGGACTGGACTGGACTTGAGTCCAGTGGACTCCACTGGACTCCACTGGAATCCACATGGATTACGTGGGGGATGGTAAAGACCTCCACTAGAAACTGTTGTAATAAAAAAAGCGAACACTAGAAACTGTTGGAATAAAAAAAGCAGACACTACAAACTGTTGCAATGAAAAAAGCGGACACTACAAACTGTTGCAATTAAAAAATTGGACACTAGAAACTGTTGCAATTAAAAAATTGGACACTAGAAACTGTTGTGATGAAAAAAGCGGACACTAGAAACTGTTGTAATGAAAAAAGCGGACACTAGAAACTGTTGTAATAAAAAAAGCGGACACTACAAAATGTTGTAATGAAAAAAGCGGACACTACAAACTGTTGTAATGAAAAAAGCGGACACTACAAACTGTTGTAATAAAAACAGCGGACATTACAAACTGTTGTAATAAAAAAAGTGGACACTACAAACTGTTGTAATAAAAAAAGCGGACACTACAAACTGTTGTAATAAAAACAGCGGACATTACAAACTGTTGTAATAAAAAAAGTGGACACTACAAACTGTTGTAATAAAAAAAGCGGACACTACAAACTGTTGTAATGAAAAAAGCGGACATTACAAACTGTTGTAATAAAAAAAGTGGACACTACAAACTGTTGTAATAGAAAAAGCGGACACTACAAACTGCTGTAGAAAAAAGCAGACACTACAACTTTTGTAATGAGAAAAACGGATTTTGTAGTGTATGTCCAACTCTGAAGTCT